TATTCTTTTTTCTTCTTTTAGATGAACATTTTTAGAAAACACACCTTGGCTTCCTGAAGTCCAGGTTTCGTCCTCATCAAAGTGCACGTCTCCTCCTATCCCATCTCCCGGCTGAAAAGCGTGAGCCAGAACTCCTCCGGCGCCGTCGAAGGGAGAGAAGTCTCCATGATCTGCAGGAGCAGGAACAGACCCGTCTTCTTACAGAGAAGGAAAACGAACGCACATCTCTGTTCTGTTTTATAAATAAGAAGGCAGGCGTGTTATTTTCTGACTTACCTCTGCGAGCGAAGGAGAGGACGATGTCAGCTTCGCCCTGGTTGACCTTGACGAAGCTCAGTGGAGTTGCATCGCTCCACATCTTCAGGGCCAAACGGAAGGACCTCTCCACCTCCTCTCTGCTCATGTCTGGACTGTACTGGGAAATCCTGCACACAGAAACACAAAACATCAGGAACAATGTACGGCCCACACCAAGAGTTGACAGGAAATAACAAAAAGAGGTCCACGCCAGTCTGACTTGAAGTGCTCTTACGTGTACGTGATGGTCTGGTTCTTCCATTTAGGCCTGTAGGGGTAGAAGCTGAAGTTGTCCACATCTGGAACACCACATCTGGGCCTCCTCATCACATCCAGTGTGTCGGAGTCCAGGGGTCCAGTTTCTGTCAGACCAAAGAACTTCTGCATGGTTCCAATCTTCTCCTCCAGGGCTGACACAGACCTGGTCCTCCTGGCTCCACCTCGAGGATCTCTGAGGTCCAGACTGTAGAACATCCTGAGGTAGGTCTGTTGGAGATCAGGACATCAGGTTTTGGGACAGTTCTGTTTGAAAGGTTTCTGTAAATACTTACAGTAGTGGAAAATACAAAAGTAAGGTGCTGTATTTAATGAAAGCCATAAAAGACAGATCAACATCCATCCATCCATCCATCCATCCTTCCATCAATCCATCCATCCATCCATCCATCCATCCATCCATCCATCCATCCATCCATCCATCCTTCCATCCTTCCATCCTTCCATCCTTCCATCAATCCATCCATCCATCCATCCATATTATCTTTACCCGCTTCTTCCTTTTTGGGTCACAGGGGTCACTGGTGCCCATGTCCAGCAGTCACTGTGTGAGAGGCGGGGGACACCCTGGACAGGTCTCCAGTCCATCACAGGGACACATAGAGACAAACAAACATTCACTCTCTCACTCACACCAAGAGACAATTTAGAGTTACCAATCAGCCTAACATGCATGTTTTTGGTCTGTGGGAGGAAACCGGAGTACCTGGAGAAAACCCACACATGCACGGAGAGAACATGTAAACTCCACCCAGAAAGGCCCCCAGACAGGGATTTGAACCGGGGACCTGCTCGCTGAGAGGCAGCAACTCAGCCAGTTGCGCCCACAGGTCAACACATACATAAGTATAATGTAAATAAAGTATCAAATAACTGTAAAGAACTTAATCACTCTGCATTAAACTGTATTTTTCCTTAGTGAAACTCTGACAGAGCAAGTCTTTGCCTGAAAGGACAAAGTGTATTGATGAACATGATGTGGATATTTTAATAAATTGTTACATAACTGTTCAGTTTGTCATCAGATTTTTGCCCTTGTCGTGATCATTTCTTCATGTTATTTCTCTTTGTGACACTGGCTGTTTTTTAGTTATTTCATTATTTATTCACTGTTTTATGTTTACATTGTGATTCACATAAAACATTTTATATTGCTACTGCCCATTGTCCATGAGTGTCGTGAAAAACACCTTCAGATAAAATATATTGTTGTTAATCTTAAAAATAAATAAAAAACTAAGATAAACTAATTCAAGGTAAATATATATTTGTTTAATTAAAAGAGATGATCTACGTGTGGCATGCGTTTGTTGTTTCAGATGGAGTTGGTTGTTTTTTTTCCACAAGATTTGTTGTACCCTGTAGTGATGCTAAGAAGAGAAATTGGAAATACTCTCTGTCTGTCTGCGCATGTTGTGTGCATGATAACTTGAAAAATAAGTACCGACTTTCATTTTAGTATGTGGCTACATCAAGGCGTATAAGGTTCCTTACAGAAATTGGGTTGCCACATGAAAATCCAAGATGGCCACCATCATATATGTATGTAAACCAGCCACCCCTGTCAATTGAGGAAACAATGCTTTGTAGTTTTTGTATTGCTTAAAATATAGTTTCCTCAAATGATTGGAGTGGATGAAGATTAAGTTAAAGGGGCCAGGGCCACCAGTAGCCACCCCCTGGTTCCACCATTGCACCTGGTGGCAAATAAAATGTCTCCCTCAACTCTCCAGGATCCGTCACTCTGTGCTGCACTCTGTTTTAGATAAACTTGTGCCAAAAATACTTCAAAACAATCAGTTCAACTGGGAAAATGGTGCTTTGATGTTTCAGACCAGGAGGTTCATCGGAGACAAAAATCACAGAAAACTCCAGGAAGTGTCTGAGACATTAATGGAGTTTAGGTGAAGTGAGTGGGAAAAGCCAAACAAAAATTTTGTAGTTCTGAAGTGTGGACAGCACAGCAGAAACATCGTTAAAAGTTTAAACAGGTCATAAAAGTTGAACTTTACACAACTAAACTAAACGTCTTAATTTTTTAAAATTCAACCACATGTTGTTATAGAGTGATGATGTCACACACTATGAACTTAGAGGAGTTTAATCTCTTCTAACTTTATGCAAACTCCTCTTATTATCTTGAACTTTACATTGTTTTTATATATTTTATACATGAAGCACTTGATGTGTCTCTCACTGCAGGACTTTCTTCTTTCAGATCTTCCAAAGTTGCAGAGTACATCCAAACTCTCATTTACTTTCATTGTATTTGAGCTAAAAATTCCTTCATAAAACTAGAAATAAATTATTATTTTAACGTATATTCTACATAAAACACAGACATATTCTGTAAATGGTTAAATGTATGTTTAGTTTCAAGAATTAAAAAAAAATTTTTTTTGAAAAAAGTTTTCATACACAGACTAGTTTTAGGCGTATTTTCTGCTCTGCATTTTCGTCTGCCTGTCTTCTTAGGAGTACTGTGAGTCGGACAGATGCAGGTGTTACCATGGTGACCACAATGAGCATCTGGCAGCAGCCTTAACGTTTCATCTGATCTTGGTTCTCATTACTTTTTAATACACTTTATATTTTAAAACATGGATTGTTTATTTTAAAATTCATTCGTTTTCATTTGGTTGAAACTAAATTTAAACAGTTTTCACCATTAAAATTAGACAACATAAAAAAAAATCTGTTCATTTTTAATTGACAAAGAAAAAAAAACGTTTTCCATTAAAACCTCTTGCTCATCAACAAAAATCATATTAATTAACTTTAAATGAACAAACAAGTACAAATATTTATATTTTACATTTTAACCACCGGTGTACGTTCGGTCATTTTCTGTGAAACTGAGGTTCAGCCAAAATATATGTATTTTATTTCTAATGAAAGAAAACACTAAACTGTAGCTACACTTTTTATCTGCTCCAGTTGAACGCAGGCCCAGTTATGTTCAATGAGTCATAATAAAAGATTCAAACATATAAAACACATGATTATAATTTTCCTCCTTTGTTTTTTTTATCCCACAAACCTGAGCCAGCTGCACATCCTGAGGCTTCAGCTGCTGATCCTCCTTAACGGGTCGAGTCCACGCCACGTCCACCACCATCAGGGAGCCCAGCGCAGCCGTCCACATCCAGAACCGCTCCATGTTTTAACGTTCATTCAGCTCGGGACTTCACATGTCATTTATGGTGGTATTTATGAAGTTCTGAAGCAGTCACATGACCTGGGGGGGGGGGGGGGGGGGGCTCCGTCTTGGTGCTTACAGCCATACCTGCAGTCATTTTGTGGTTCAGACCTCCAGTTAAACATCTGCATGTGTCTGGTTCTGTCTGTAACAGGTTTCACCGTAAAGAATTAATGTTTCTGAGGAAGTCAAGTACAAACCTGCAGCTGTTTATGAGGAAAGCCTAAATTAGTCTGAGCCTCGTCTGTACACGCGTCTGCACAGCAGGCATAAAAACAGATTTATGTCACGCCGACCACAAACATTTCATTTCATTTAACGTACATTCAAGTTTACGTCCTCGTTTGTTGTTGTTGTTGTTGTTGTTCTCCTCCATAGACACCAGTCAGGTCCACACAGTTGATCTCTCTAAGAGTTAGTTTACCTCAGGGGAAACATCCACCAAATGATTAAAAGAGCAAATAGTGTGCATGCATGCACACTATTCAAGGTTCAAGGTTCTTTATTGTCATTCACATCACATGTGGTGCATGAGATGGAATGAAATTGTGTACTCAAGGTCCCAGTTACACCCAACAATAGCAAAAATATAAGGTATAATAAAAAAAGAAGAAACGACTGTATATACAAGGATCTAAGGTATATGCTAAACAAATATAATTTAATATAATATGGTGTATTAAACAGCAGCCTGAACATGAGTATGTAGTGAGCAGATGGGTATGAATACAGCAGCTTATGGGTAAGAATCAGCAGCATGGATAATCAGCAGCATGGATAATCAGCAGCATGGGTAAAGTCATATATCACCAATTAAAGTGTCATTACAATGATTATTCTGGTTAGAGATTCATGAGTCTAACAGCTTAAGGGTAGAAGCTGTTCCTCAGTCTAGTGGTTCTACACTTAATGCTCCTCAACCTCCTTCCTGAGGGGAGCAGGGCAAGAAGTGTGTGTGCTGGGTGAGTGGGGTCCTTCATGATACAGGTGGCCCTCTTCCTGCATCTGGAGGTGTAGATGTCTGTGATGGTGGGGAGACTGACTCCAACAGTCGTCTGTGCAGCCTTCACCACTCTCTGCAGAGCTTTTTTTTCTGCAGCTGTGCAGCCTCCATGCCACACATTGATGCTGGAGCACAGGGTGCTCTCCACTGCACACCTGTAGAAGGAGGTGAGGACTGAGCTTCCCAGACCAGCTCGCCTCAGCCGCCTGAGGAAGTAGAGTCTCTGATGAGCTTTCTTGATCAGGCTGGTGGTGTTGTTGCCTCAGCTGAGGTTGTCATTCATGTGTACACCCAAGTACTTGTAGCTGGAGACCACTTCCACTACAGATCCTCTTATGTTCAGGGGAGTGTAGGTGTGTTTTGTTGCATCTGAAATCCACAACCATCTCCTTGGTCTTCTTCACACTGATGTGAAGGTTGTTCTTCTTGCATCAGCTCTCCAGATGTTCTACCTCCTGCCTGTAGCTGGACTCAGCACTGTTGAGATCCTGTTCAAACATCTTCCATACATTTTTCAGCATCTATCATCCCACAGTTTTTAAGCTACTACAGCAGTTTAGGCACCAAAACATTCAGCTTGTTCAGGTCGCTCCTCTATGACTTTTGATACTGACATCTTTTAAATGTTTCAAAATATTAAGCTTTGTCAGTTTAATGGAAAATATAAAGTTTTGCATAAGAAACATTAATGTACTTTGTGTTTACTGAATATTATGCATTTACTTTTCATGTGTGGTTTAAACTCATGTAACCTTTTTCAATTGCGTACAAGTGAAGACGTTCTTTAGATTTATTGTTTGTGACTGATGAAGAGTTCTCCTCATTACCTGATGAAGAGTTCTCCTCATTACCAGTTTTTGGATCCTTTCTGCTTCCTGAGAAGAGCTTGGGAAGAAGAGGACCTCCTGACTTGCTCATCTAGACTTTTCTTAATTCCAACAGGTGTTTTGTCTTCTATATGACATGAGGGAGGAAAACACTTCCTTATAAGTTTCATGTGGAGATTAGGAAATGTATAAAGGATGAATGTGACTTCATATCTGCGCTCTCTTCTTCCTAATGAGCTGAGTCTTTGAACGCATATTTTTTCCGCTTTCGAATAATAATAATAAACTTGGATACAAGATCGATTTGTTATTCTTTGAGTTTTAAAAGTTCGTTTCTCACTGTCTGTTAAAAATCCACCACAGTCAGCATCATTTTATCCATCTGAAATGAACTGAGCTTCAGTGAAATCTTTCAACATCTTACTATTTGAACTGTCACTACTTCAGCAGACTTCCACCAAGACAGTCTGTTGTTCAACTTTAAATCAGTTCACACGACATTCAGCTATCACACACTGATTCAGCTCTGTGATGAACCGTTCTCGTAATATCAGAGTTTACGTTAAAGTTTTGCTGTTTCTCTTCTGTCCAGCTGTGTTTCCATGGTAACTGAATGTTAACTCTGTGCAGCTGGGAGACACTCAGATAATTGGGAACAGTAAATCATCAGTCCTGCTTCTCATTGTTCAGTAATGTGTTTGATGTACAGCTGTTGTTGTTACTTTCCTGTTTTTAACTTAATTCTACTCATTCCAGCTGTTTTTAGATCATTAATGCTAAAATGTGGTGTGGTAGTAGCCAAGAGCCATCCTGAACACATACAAAACAAAGAAATGTCAAAACTTCACAGCTGGACACATGTGGGTCAGCAAAGATACGTACTGGTTTTATGAGCAAATGTAATTGTACTAAACTGGATTTTTCACAGTTTTGCTTTGAATGTTAGCCTTTTCTTTATTTCTTAATAAATGTTAGCAAATTCTGGTTCTAAGCTGGTGTTTTGCTGCTAGTTGCTAATATTTCTCTTCATCTGGCTCTTAGTTACCTGGTTTGTTTGCTGTTTAATAGCACATGTGCCTTTATTCACATTACTTTTAGCTTTTTTTTTGTTTTTTTGCTAAATACAGTACTGCCTGTCTGTACATTTTAACTGTTTTAACCTCATTACAACCTTTTTCTACATTTTAACATGTTTTTTATTTTTTTATTTTTTTGCAGCTTCATCTTTCAAATTTTTAGCTATTGGTGTATTTCAAGTAAACTTTCTTTAAAGCATTTTTCCAGCAAAAATAATAAAAGTATAAGCATTTTCGAAGGAAATGCAAATGTTTCTAGTTTTTAATATTTTCTCACAATAAACTAGTCAGGACCACCATAAACCAGAGAGCTATCTCAGCCTGAAAGAAATATATACAATATAAACAGATGTTTAAAATGTTAACTCTTTAAGAGTCTTTTGTAAAAAAATAAATAAATAAATATAAAAGCTCCACATTTCAGATTTTTTTAATTGACATATTTTACAGCAAATTTTAATGAAAAATAGGAATTTCCCCCATTAGTATGCCCAAACTGACTGACAGTTTTCTTTCAATTCCAGTCCAGAGTTTTCTGAAGACTCTTCAGATCAAGTAGCTGAAAATGAGGCCGCCCTTTTTTTTGTTTTTTATCAAACTTACTCTTTGTGGTTGAACATGACAGTTTTATTTATTTATTTATTTCCTTAATTATTTTTTTAACTGTACTCATGGTAGAAATGCAAAGTTCTAGTTAGTTTTCACTCGTACTGATGAGCAAGCGAATGCCACATGTGCTGCTGACTATCCATCCTGCTGATCTCATGCTGCTGATTTATTTCATGTTGCTGTGTTCATGTGTCTTCATCTGCTCATGGACTCATGTTCGTGCTGCTGTTGTTTGACACATTGTTTTGTACTATTAGTGCTTAGTGTATTATTAGTTTAGCGTATTTCTTAGTTCATGTCTTGGATCTTATTGCTGTTTTTCTTTACAATTTGTATTTTTGTTGGATGCAACTGAGACCCTGTGTAAATAGTTTCGTTCCACCTCATGTACCACATGTGATGTGAATGACAATAAATAATCCTCCCTTGAATCCCTTGAAGCTGCAGGAGCACGGTGCACCAAATGACGTCCTGCTTTGCCGCTGTCAGCCGTAGAACATTCAATTCTGCAGCCTGCATGCACGTGCAACAGCTTTTTAGTACCAATTATTTATTTGTGCACATTACAAGTGTTTGCTCTTTACAGTCAAACTTAAAGGATTTTGTCAGAAGAGATGAGAGGTGGGACTCTGCAGCAACATCTGTAATGGAAGGTTCTGCTTCTGGGGAGAGTAGAACTCCGTAGATATTTTCAGAGGGACTCAGATATAAAAGCAAAGCACCACACAGACACTAGAATAAAAATCAAAAGGTAACAAGAAAGGCCGTTACTTTGAGGAATAAATTATTTTATGATCTGATAAGATCCTCCATCTGCCTGCATGGACCAAACTCTACGGACACATTCGGTTCCGCTGAGAAACCTTGGATGTTCTCCGTCTGCCGGACCCAGTTCTGGAGGGCAGCTGCTGCGGTCATTATTACCATCAAGCTGCTGATGGGAGCTGCTAATGCTGCTAACAAGACCGCGCCGCTAACAGTACCATGGTGCTAACTGGACCATGTTGCTAACTGGACCATGTTGCTAAGAGAACCTCACTGTCATCAGAACCACTCTGCCAATAGGACCATGCTGCTGTAGATTTATTTATTTTCACTTTTGGCACCTTGTTTCTGTATTTATGTTGCATGCTTTGAATAAGTCTTAGTTTATGTTAGTTTTGGGGCTCCGAGCCCGATTCTGCTCACATTATGAACTATAGCCGAACCGAACCTATGAGAACCGTTCTGCTGTTGTTTGATGTATTGTTTTGCACTATTAGTGACTGGCATATATCTTAAATCTTTATTGTACCGTTGGACTTTCGTTTAGCGTATATCTTGGTATCTTAGATCCTTATTTACTGTTTCTTTTACACTTTATATTTTTGCTATTGTTGGATGTAACTGGGACCCTGTGTACACAAATTAATTCCACCTCATGTACCACATGTGATGTGAATGACAATAAAAAAACCTTGAATCCTTTGAATTAGAATCCGTTGAATAAATTGAAATTAAATAGATTGTTCCCCTCAGGAACACAAGAGTGTAGTAAAGTTACTGTGAGCTTATGAGAGCATTTGAACAAATTCTGACAAAATTAAAAAAAAAAAAAAGTAGAAGGATCATTAGGATTTGTCAGAAAAAGTCATGTTTATTGACTGAAACAAAATAAAATAATAAATAAAAACAGACAATAATTAACGTGTGGCTGATTTTCCCCCAGAAGGTCTTTCAATGGTTAATTGGTGCTTTCAATGACTCCTTACTGAATTTCCTTCATGAAGTCATTTCAGCAGCTGAGCCAGGACCTGGACGACTCAACTCCAACGACGTGTTTGAGGGTCAGGTCAAATTTGTAGACGTGTGGTCCCAAAAAGAAGTAGATGAACTCTGAGACGCAAAGAGAAGATATATCTTCAGGAGTCAAACAGAAAGATGAGTGCAGCGATTGATTTTTGAACCGAGTATTGTGTTTTGCTCACAGTTAAACTATAATACGTCCTAAAAATAACTTCAATGGCAGATTTTATAGTTTAAATCACAGACTGTGCTGCTAAAATAACCAGCTTTAGGGAGCTGTGATCACATGCAAATTAGCATTCCTGAGTTACAAACAGAGCGAAGAGTAAAAACCCTTAAAACCACAGACATACAGGAAACGTCGTTATAAACTTTACTGGTTCATGTTTTCTAATGCACGAGAACCCAACCTAACCAGCAAACACACAAGAGAAGATTTGCTCACTTTCTTTATAAAACGCTGCGTTTATCGTGGCGTTAACTCCAGGAAAGTCCTCGCTGATGGACCTCGGGAAACCAAAGTCCATCACCTTCCGGTTCTCATTGTAACTGAAAATGAAATGAAACAACGTCAGATTGTCAAAGATTCAGCAGAAACATGCTGAAAAAAAATCACCTGAAACAGCTGGAAATTAAACAAAAAAAAGCTGAAAGCAGTAAATTTTTAGAAAAATTCTGGAATCAGCATAAAAAGCTAAAATTTAAACAAAATAGCTGAAATTAGAAGAAAGAAGCTGAAGAGCACATAGCCTGAAAAAGGCAAAAAGATAATGAAAAGAGCACATAAAAGTTGAAATTGGATGAGTAGCTAAAAAGCTGAAATTAGCAGAAAGAAGCTGAAAGTAGCGGAAAGAAGCTGAAGTTAGCATAAAGAATCTGAAATTAGCATAAAGAAGCTGAAATTAGCATGTGTCAGGACAAATAATCAAATATCTTCAAGCTTCTGTTTACAGAGGGGGACCAGGCAGGGATGTCCACTTTCACCTGCACTATTTGCTATTTTTATTGAACCTTTAGCAGCAGCAATAAGACAAACTGCTGATATTAAAGGTATACTGTGTAAAAATATAGAACATAAAATTAGTCTTTATGCTGACGATGTTTTACTTTTTCTTCAGAACACAGAAAATTCAATATCTAATGTTATCGAATTAATAAACTCATTCTCAAAAGTTTCTGATTATTCTATAAATTGGTCAAAATCTACAGCTCTTCCAATAAACTGCGTGTTTAATACTTCTCTCAATGAACGACTACAATCAGGTAACATTACATACTTGGGCATTAATATTTCTCCTAGATTGGAAGACTTAATAAAATTGAATCATATCCCAATTTTAAAGAACATTGAAGATGATCTTACTAGATGGAAATCTCTGCCCATATCACTTATGGGAAGAGTTGCCTCAGTAAAAATGATGGTCCTGCCGAGAATAAACTATTTATTCTCAATGATTCCAAATAAACCTTCAGCTGAATGGTTTAAGTCACTGGACTCTTTGATATCTAAATTCCTTTGGAAAAACAAAACTCCACGTATTAGCTTAAAAGCATTACAGAAATCCAAAGATACCGGAGGATTAGAACTTCCCAACTTCTATCACTACTATTTAGCCAATAGGTTACAATATATCTCAAAGTGGTTAAATCCAAATACATTAGATGAAACTTGGATAGACATAGAACAAACTTTATGCAATAATATTAAGATTTCAGATCTACCGTTTATTAGCACAAATATAAAAAGACATGTTTGCTTTAAAAGCATCAGTATTAGCTCTTCTCTGACAGCATGGTGGGAGTATTTGAAAATGACAAAATCTTCACTACTCCCCTGTAGACATACACCCATCTGGAACAATCCTGACATCCTACAAGAAAATAATATGTTAAATTTCCCAGGTTGGAGAGTCAAGGGAATTGAACGTCTGGAACACATATATGAAGGTGTAGACTTTATTCCATTTAATAATTTAATAATACAATTTGACATGGAAAATAAATACTTCTTAGAATATCAACAAATTAAGTCTATCATAAAAAAGAAATTTAAGCTTAATAAAACTTTGTTAGAAACACCAATATGTGTGTTAGAGTTCCTTAATCTTAAATCCCCCAAATTATTATCTAAAATATACAAGAAATTGTCTAGAATCAATGACTCCATAATGTTACCTGTTGCAAAATGGGAGTCAGATTTATCAATCAATTTTGACCAAAACACCTGGTCTCAAATATGTTTAAGAACATTTAAAATGACTAGAATCTCCAACTTACAATTAATAAAGTATAAAGTTCTTTATAGAGTACATTATACAGGTCAGTGAATGTTTAGGATGGGATTTACATCATCTAACAACTGCTCACAGTGCACAGGCAATATTCCTGATGATTATATCCATGCACTCTGGTTCTGCCCACCCGTTCAGAGGTTCTGGGTCCAGGTTTGTGAAGACTTGTCTAAATGTCTGAAATGTAATATTCCACTCTCTCCGTCTGTTTGCTTATTGGCTATCTTGGAAGATGTTACCCTGGAAAAAAAATACATGTCGCATGATTTTCACTGCCTTATGCATCGCAAAGAAAACCATACTCCTGAATTGGAAAAATAAAAATAATCTTAGCATTAATCAGTATAAAAATCTTCTGTTAGATCATATCAGTCTTGAAACAGCATCTGCCGACACATTGGTTCAATCTCTGTGGGCTCCTTTGATCGGCTCCGTTACATAGTGAGGGTGGGTAGTCTGGGATCTGACCTTGTGGGGCCTTGGGGTTGATGTGGAGGTGGGTGTATGGGTTTGGGGCCCCGGGGGGGTTGCCGGGGGCTGGGCTTTTGGGGGTACCTGGGCAGGGGGGCACTGCTTTCCCTCTGGGGAGGGCCTGGGTGGTTCTGGGGGATGTCTGCTGGTGGCTGCATGCAGGCCCTCAGGTGGTCTGTGGCGGCGGTCGTGGGTCACCGATCTGGTAGCCTGGCTGTGCTGGTGTGGGTTCGGGGTGGGCGCGGGGGCTTGGGGTTCTGGGGGCTTGTCGCCCCCGGGCTTGGGCCTGTGGGGTTCGGGGATCTTGGGCTCTGGCGGGCGGGTTGCCGGGCTCTGGGCCGGCTTGCGCTCTGGTGCCCGGTTTTGGGCGGGGGCCTTTGGCTCGCTGGTGGGTTGTGGGTCATGGGCTGGGGGGTTGGGTATTTGGGGGCGTGACCAGTGGCCCCTAGGAGGGGGTAGTTTGACCCAGCCTAGGTGTCTAATGTGCTATGTGTTTTGAGAGATGTCCGAATGAGGGGTGGGTGTAGTATTTCTTCTGGGGTGGGGATGGGGTGGATGTCCTTGGGGGCGGCCCGGGACTGTGCATGGCCGGCTGGCTGGCCCCTTTCCTGTGGTGGGGGCTCGCTCCCGGTGCTTCCTGGCACTGTCGGCGGTTGGGCGGGCGCTCTTGGCCGGGTCGTCCTGGTGGGGTTTGGCTCCATCTGGTAGCGGGCTGACTGCGGTCTGTGGGGGTCCTGGTGGCCCTCGGGTGTGTAGGCTGCTGGTGCGGCTTCTGGCGGCCCTCGGGGCTCTGTCCCTCTCTAGTCTGGAGCTCAGCGGGCCTGGCGGTCGGTCCAGATGGAGAGGTGTCTTGGGCTCAGGCGCGGGGGGGACCGGGGGGGGAGGGGGGGGGGGGGGGCTGTTGGGTCAGTGGGGGAGCTGACTCCCTGTGGGAGCATTTGCTCTCACAGTTATTTCTCCCCATCCCTCACCATGCACCTCCACCCTCTTCATTTCAATTCCATACATTTAGGGTTGTTTGGGCTCGGGTGTGCTGCAACAATTTTACATCTTTGTTGACCATAGCCACCTGGGACTCAATTTTATTGTACACCTTAGACATTCATTCATAACATCCTCATGACATTCATATATAGGAATTTGAAGTGGGCACATGGCTATGGGTGGTGGGATGACCTTACTCTCACCCCCTGTGCCTGTGCTCACTTACAACGGTTACATTTAGACACTAGGGTTTGGATAGAGTTGGGGTGGAGGGGAAACTGGCACCTTGCCAGCCTTTGCTCCTTCTTCTTTCCTTTTTAATGGCACTCTACAACAACACACATCAACAGCACATCTAGGGGTGGGGGTGTATGTGTCGGGGTCTTATTTTTATTTATTTATTTATTTTTTTTCTCCTCTTCCTACCCACCTAGTTCCCTGACTGCCATTCCGGGGGTGGGGTCCTGGAGAAGGGCAGGCCGTCGGGTGTTGACCAGGACTATGTGGGGGTTCAGGGTCTGGGGGTTGCCATGGGCGGTGCTGGCGCTGTGCTCTCCCTGGGGTTGTTTGGACCCCCTGAGCTTGGCTCTTGGGTGCCATGGTTGGCCCGCTGACCGGGGTGGCTGCCGGGGCCTGGCGGGCGGTCGGCTGGGGGTGCATGCTTGGTTGTTGGCGGTGTGTGGGGGTGGTTGGTGGCGTGTCCTCTTCATGGTGGGGGGGTGTCCTGTCGGCGGGGCATGGCCTGGGCCAGTTCTGGGGTATTGGCTCTTCTCCGCTCAAGAATGAATGGGTTTACCTCCTGGGTTTGGGCATGGGCTGCCCCCTGTAGAGGGCGGGTACATGTCTTGGACCTGGGGGGTTTAGAGTGTGTATCGGGAATAAGAATGAAATGTATCGTTATTGTATGTCTTTGAGTGAATGAATGTGAGATTGAGGTTGGGATAGTGTGATTGTGTCTGTGTATGAATGGGTATTTGTTAGGCCAAGACTCGGACTGCCCCCTCTTTGATACAACTGGGGGTGCTTGGCATCGCGCCCCTATCGCGCGGCCCCCTGGTGGGGTGTGCCCTTGCCTGCCAGCGCGCTTGGGGCCCTTGGTATCGGGGGCTGGGCACTTGGGCGTGTGTCGGCTCGGCCTGGTGTCTGCCTGGTGGGGCTCGGGTCCTCTGGCCCTGTCAGGCCTTGGCCTGGGTGGTGTGAGTCCTCGGTGCCCGGGCCTCGGTGCCTGGACCTGGACCTACATCGGTGCGGCAGGTGCCGACGGGGGCCTATGAGTTTGTCGCTGTTGGCCCCGGGGGGTCACTGTATGTGGTTGCTGGTGGGGATCTTCCGGTTCTCCCCTGTGGTCCGTTCTGGGGGGTGGGTGAGTGGTTCGTCCTGTGTGGGTGGCTCTGGGGGCTCCGCGGTCGGGGTCCCTCCTGGGGTCTTGGGCTCTGGTCCCCCCTTTTTCGTCTGCCTCTGGTCTTGGGGGTCGGGTCTCTGCTGCTTCACAGTTACTAATAAATGTTCTATTAGAGAAGCCTTATACACTTATGCATGCTCACAACCACACACAAATAGAAGCAGGGATGCTTATGTAGGCTTTATATGTAGATATATAGATATGTATGTGAGTGTATATTCATGTGTATGTATGTATGTATGTATATAGGCGTAGGTATGGGTATATATATTTATGGAAACTTACTGCAAAGCCATGAATATTTTAAGTTCTTTATACATATGTATTTTGTTGCTGTGTTTTGTCATGTTCTTTGCAGGCGAACAGACAGTGGCCGGGTGTTTTGACGTGTGCTCTATTTGTATATATTTCTTATATTTTGGAGTCTTACTTTGTCTTTTCTTTCTTTCTATCCTATTAAAAAAAAAAAAAACCTACACTAGATAGTCACTATAATAAATATTAAAAAAAAAAAAAAAAAAATAAAAAAAAGTAAAAAAAAAAAAAGAAGCTGAAATTAGCAGAAAAAAGCTGAAAGTAGCGGAAAGAAGCTGAAGTTAGCATAAAGAAGCTGAAATGAGCATAAAAAAGTTGAAATGAGCATGAAGAAGCTGAAATGAGCAGAAAGAAACTGAAATTAACAGAAAGAAGCTGAAATGTGCAGAAATAAGCTGAAATGAGCATAAAGAATCTGAAATGAGAAGAAAGAAGCTGACAAAAGCAGAAAGAAGCTGAAAAGAGCAGAAAGAAGCTGAAAGGAGCAGAAAGAAGCTGAAATTAGCAGAAAGAAGTTGAAATGAGAAGAAAGAAGCTGAAATGAGAAAAAAGAAGCTGAAATGAGCCGAAAGAAGCTGAAATGAGCAGAAAGAAGTTGAAATGAGAAGAAAGAAGCTGAAATGAGAAGAAAGAAGCTGAAATGAGCATAAAGAAGCTGAAAGGTGCAGATCCAGAACAAGATGGCCTGAGCAGCAAGCTGTTGCACCAGAGTCGGTACATGCACCATGACAGAGTTTATTCTGATCTGCAGGGTTCATATTTATTCTTTGTGTCTCCAGTCCTCTGGACCGAGCAGGACTCAAGCTTTTATTTTTATATACTGTTAATCCAAACTATTTGAAAAATAAAAGTCCCCTGGTGTTCAAACATCATCTCAGTTGGAGAAAGATTGACAGCCCCGTCTTTTGGTTCTGATCTCGACTCACCTCCAGTAAATGTGTTGCATGAAGAAGAGGGTACGGCCCGTTCTGACAACGTGCACGGCTGCTTCGACGCTCTGCACCCAAGCTGGAAACCCAAAGAAGCTCAGAGCTTTGGGCTTCCCTTTAATAACAGAACCTCTCACTGTCCAGAACGTAGAGCCTGCCAACAGAAATAGTTAAAACTGGTCTGACTTGTTTTCTGAATCATAAAATTCATGCTTTGATGAAATCGGTTCAGGAGGACTCCTTTCACCAGATGATGACCCTGCTGTGATAGAAAACCAGCAGAAATGTTGGTGGTCCTTGGAGGGTCTTGGCGAGGTCTTCAGGACTGTTTTAAGAGCACAATGACATTCCCATTCCTTGTGAGAGGTTGTGGAGGGTTTAGAGCGTTGGTTTAACTTTGAGGTGACAGCGTGTTTATACCGGTTGGTTGTCCAGAGTTTAAAAAGAAGTTTTTAGAGCCTCGTGTCTTGGTCATGACGACACTGACAGTGAAGCAGCATCATGAAAGAGGTTTTCCTCCAGGTCCTAAAGGTCTAGAAGAGCACAGCAAGGTCATGATCCAGTGTGAAGGGGATCTAATGATGGAAGTTACCATGAATGAGGTACGCTGCTGATCTGCGAGGTATCCAGAAGGCAGCATCAATCCTAGTTTCAATCTTAGGCATAAAGTTGCTGATGGGACCTTCTTTGATGTCAGACTGCTCGTTGTGTTTTATCCAAAGATATCTTTAAGAAGAAAAACACATTTTAAAGATGAGCGCTGACATCACGCTGTGCTCTGGAACAAACACCTGCATCATGAAGGACCTCACTCACCCAGCACACACTTTTTGCCCCGCTCCTCTCAGGAAGGAGGTTGAGGAGCATTAAGTGTAGAACCACTAGACTGAAGAACAGCTTCTACCCTGAGGCTTTTAGACTCATGAATCTCTAACCAGGATAATCACTGTGAAGAATCACATCATGCTGCTGATCTGTTTCATGTTGCTGCTGATCTGTTTCATGTTCCTGCTGATCTGCTTCGTGTTGATGTGTTCATTCGTGCTCATCTGCTCACACAGACTCATGTTCGTGCTGCTGTTCGATGTATTGTTTTATGGTATTAGTGCTTGGTGTATTTTTTTAGTTGATGTTTTTCTTAGTTCATATCTTAGATGTTATTACTGTTTTTCTTTTACATTTTATTGTTGGATGTAACTGGGACCCTGTGTACATAATCTCGTTCCACCACAAGTACCACATGTGGCGCGAATGCCAAATAAAGTAACTCTGACCCTGACTCTGACAGGCTTTCAGTGAAGAAATTATGAATGTTTGTTTATTAAGAGATATTAGGAGCAGATCTGAACATGCCTGTCTCTGAAAAAGAAGGTAGCGTCTCCGAGGGTTGATACTGCGTCAAACGTCAGGTCTGGTGCACATCTGTCCTGCATGAGTCGGGGGAACAGTGGTCTGGACATCCAGGGAACGTTTCTCACAATCTGAGGACCTGGCACACATCAGGATGGATCAGGGTCCACTAAGAAGGAAACATGTGGAACATGTGGACCCAGGTAAAATCTGGTTACTGTAAAGTGCTTGGATGTTGGCCTCGTCTTCTCTGGACAGCAAGTTGGAAGGACGGGACATTTTGTAGGTCGGATACATCACAGATCCTGGACTCCTGGAGTGCTTGAGGCCCAACGCGTGACCGAACTCATGAGCTGCTACCATGAGCAGGTCAAACCCTGAAACAGCACAAAGACAAACTCATGGTTAGTAAAGCCTTTGGTGATGATTATTCCATATGAGTCAGTTCAGCACCTGATCCTCCTCCTGCCGTCCATCGCTCGTCATCATCGAAGTGTGTGTCACCTCCGGCGCCCAACCCTGGACCAAAAGCATGAGCCAGAGTCCCTCGGGGGCCGTCAAATGGATAAAAGTCGCCGTGGGCTACAACCGGGACAAACGTGAAACAGAAACCACAGAGAAAAGTTTTTCTTCATGCTAGCAGGAAATGACAGGCTTCAGTTCACCTCCTGTGAGTCAGGTGAGTCAGGTGAGTCAGGTGAGTCAGGTGAGTCGGGTGAGTCGGGTGAGTCGGGTTCAGAGGCTGGAGGATGACGCTGCTGCAGGTTAAATCCCCGCTGTGGCTCCCCACCTCTAATGCCACTGAGCTGTCAGGACTTTGTGTCCTCTGCTGTCAGTGTTTGGTGTTAGCGAAGAGACAAACCTACCATTGGTCACAAACTCCACCCTGATGTCAGCGCTGCTGGTGTGTAACCGGACGAACGTCAGGCCGCTGGCTCTGGCCCAAACAGCGAGGGCTGACTGGATTAAAGAGTCCACAGTGCTGAGAGGCAGATCTCTGGTGTATCTGCCGATGCTGAGAGAGGAAACAACGTGAACTGTTGCTGATTCGTGTCACAACGCCTCACAACAGAAAACATGACATCTTTGTTTATCTCTTATGTTGGACGGAGAGCTTCCTTTGCTGGTTTAATGAGACGTTGTGAGATTCTTCGTCAGTTTCTGACTAGACACAGCAAAGTTTTTATAGTTTGGTAACAGGAAGATCATCTCATCAAGGAGACTTTTTGTTTTTTTAACAAACCAAAGCAGACATCAGATCAAAATGTTTTGAGATAAACTGAAAGTAAGAAGTTGGGAATGATGCTGCAGCCAGTTGGTCCTCAGAGCAGCCTGGACCTGCTGGAGCGCTACGATGTCATCAGTCTTCACTAACATAAATACTATGTAATGTAGTCTGAATGCATGTTGCTGAATGATTTTGCTGAAAGCTGCTGAACAACTGAAAGCTTATGAGAAATACACCAAAGGCAGAAAGGAGAAAAAGAAACCGAAAGGGCCACAAAAATCTCATCTGCTCACAAAGACTCATGTTCGTGCTGCTGTTGTTCAGCATATTGTTTTTGCACTATAGTGCTTAGCGTATTCCTTAGTTGATATCTTAGATCTTATATACAGTTTCTTTTTGCACTTTATATTTTTGCTACTGTTGGATGTAACTGGGACCCTGTACAGAATTTTGTTCCACCTCATGTACCACATGTGATGCAAATGACAATAAAGAACCTGAAAAGCTGAAAGTATTAAAAAAGTAGCTGAAAGTTGATGATAAAAGCTGAAATTATCAGAAAGATGCAAACAGTAGCAGAAACATGCTGAAATTAGCAGAAAATCAGCTGAAAGCAGCTAAAAAAAAGAACAAAAAGCTGAAATTAGCAAAAATTAATAAAACTGAATATAGGACATAAAAGCTGAAATTAACAGAAAATGTGTCAAAATGTATAGCTGCGAATACATATGAAAGCTTAAACTAGAATAAAAAGCAAAAATGAGCAAAAATGAAATCTAAAATTAGCCAAAAGAAACTGAAATGAACAGAAAAAAGCTAAATAATAATAATAAATTGGGGGGGGAAAGCTGAGCAGTCAAAAGTTTTAGACAGCTCATAGGCTTTGAAGGAAGTGAAGGGAGCTCTATTCATTTTCAATGAGAAAAACATGGCCGACAAAGCTAAATATTTCAAATAGTAAAAATTGCACCAAAGCAAAAGTCACAGCAGGAATATCCTGAACGAGCTGAATGTTTAGATTCATGAATTGCTGAAACAGAACAAAAATTGTGGAAAAACATCCCAAAGAAATACAGACTCTACCAGAGAAAATGGTTTAGAAACAGTCAAAAGTTTCTGGCCCAGTTGAAGGTTCCTGGCAACCCAGCCTCCCCTCCCTTCGCCCAGTTCTCTTGTCTCTACGCCTCCGGTGTAACGATGGTTTGAACTGTTCGTTCTGTGTCCCCTCGCTGCCTGAACCAGACTCCAGTCTGTGTCGACCACCTGAACCCTCCTGAGCTGCCTCCACCCTGAAACACCATCTGAGGACTTGATAAAGTTTGAGCTTAAGATTCATGTGGAGGTCTGCCGAGAGGTCAGCTGTTCTGGTGACGGAGCGATGGTCTGACATTAACGGCTACACAACCTGTCCCTCCTTTCATGGTGAAACAAGTCTTGATGTCATCAGTGCACACTGCTCAACATGAAACTAACGTGTTGTATTTGACACAAGCAGCAGCAGCTCAAGCTCAAAGTTAGCCAGATGTGTTGCTGAAACCTCTAAATGATGATTATAGTTGCTTTTCCTGGATTCTCCCTATAAATATGTTTGTTCTGTGTGTAACTCGAGGATTTTTTACAGCCTGCATATCAGGGGACAGTGTTACATCAGTTTCAGAACATCCTGTTCTGTTGGTGTTCGAACAAAACGTCCCTCGGGTTGGAAATCTGTCGTTTATGATGATTTGTGACAGCTGCTCCGGCCCAGTTCTGACAGAGGTTTTATCGCCTGCTGGGTTGGTATTTGACATGAACATCTTTAAGGCTTATACCTGTAAGACAAGATGTTCTTGTTCCAGCGCGTCCCCTGGACCTGACTGAAGTCCTCCACATCTGGAACACCACATCGAGGACTCCTCATCACCTCCAGGGTGTCGGAGTCCAGCACTCCTGTTTCATTAAGCCCAAAGAAAGCCTGCATGTCTTTCACTTTGGAGGTGAAGGAGAGCCCGCTCCTCCTCATGCGGCCCGAAGGATCCGTCTGCAGGTTGTAGTACTGATGGAGGTAGTCCTATCGGACACCACAGAAAGAACTATTTGTCATTTATGTGATGGAAAATCATATTTTTCATACAAGTTCGTGCTCAACTGTAAAACCTGGTTGGAACATTGATTAAATCATAATTTTTCTCATAAATGTTTGGGTTTTCATCTTGTGAATGATTAAAAGTTTTACAACCTGTTGAATATCTTCCTAGTTGTTAAAATAAATTTCCCATTAAAACTGAGGAAGCAACTTACTCAGAAGAAAATATAAAAGCAAGAAGAATAAGGAAGGAGAAAATGAAGATGCTGGAAAAGCTCTGCTCAAATTTGTTCAGTTTCTCCGCTCACAGCCACAGAAAGCATGATTTAACCAGAAGAATGTCATTTCCTCTGAAACACACCAAATGCTGCTGAATAAGCTGAAACCAGCTGAAAAATTTTGTTGCTGAGCTGTTAATGTGAGCTGGATTAAAACAGCTGATATTTGCTGAAGACAGGAAAATGAGAGCAGCAGAAGTGTGTAGAAAACGCTGATTAGAGCAAAATTGAGCAGCACAAGATGAAATAGGCAGAGAGAGCATGAATGTTTACAAAAAAGCTGAATACAGACACATAAAGGCTGCTTAAAAACTAAAAGATGAAAGTAGTTGAAAGAGGTTAAAAGGTGCAGGAAAAAAAGCTGAAGGGAAAAGAAGGACGCTGAAAGGAGCTGAAGGCAGCGTTGTAGTACTCGAGACCGGTCTCGAGACCACTTTTTGATGGTCTCGGTCTCGACTGCTTTTGGTCTCGGTCTTGCCTCGGTCTCGAACACTGAGGACTCAGGATTTTATTTCAGACCAGTCAAGACCACAACTGTGGAAATATCACTAAATTGCCAGAATGTTGTCCAGTTTATTTGTCCAGTACCTGGAAGAGAGGGAAGCGTCTGTCTGCTGTACAGCCTCGTTCAGAACCAGTCAGAATAGATTCACTTGCAATAATCAGTCTAAAGCACGACTTAATCAGTTAATATATAGCTCTTTTTTTTTTCCATTTCAAATTGTTTCTGAACTGTTCGTGCTATGATGGAGCCTCAATTCTCTACCGTGGTGAAGTTAGTTTTACGTTGGACATTCGAGCTCCGTGGCTTCAGCGGTGCGTTCATCTCACTCGATCCGAAGCAGGCAGTCTGATTTCGATCAGCTGCGCTCCGTCTGCCCCTCCTCTGAGATGTAATGGTTCACTTAGGAACCGTCAACAAATTACCAAACCAAAACACTCTTCAGAAACAGAAAAATAAAATATTTTACATCATTTGACCCACTGACACAAAACTAATGTTAAACTACTCTGATAGACCGACACACAAGACATCATCATTTATTTCTCATTTTAAAACATTTTCTAATTAGTTATTGAGTGAAAACCATGATTTTTGAACAAATAAATTGTGTAAAATTAGAAAATGTCTTAAAATGATAAATAAATGAAGGTATCTCATCTGTCAGGTCTAGTAGAGTAGTTTAACATAAGTTTTGTGTCAGTGGGTCACATGACATGAACATTATTGTGCAAAAACCACTGAATGTCTGATTTCTTCACAGATTTGAAATTTTATAAAAAGATGATACATTCATTCAAAAGCAAACTTAAAGTTTCATTATGTACCTTTTATATAAAAAAAAACATTTTTATAAAAGTTGCATGTTCTTTACATATTTGTTAAAACTGTCACTATGTCATGACAGAATATTATAAAACAGAGAATCTGTGAAAAGATTGAGCTCCAAGAGTTGAGGTCTTGGACTCGACTTGGCCTTGGGCTCTAAAAGTCTTGGTCTTGTCTCGGTCTCGTGTTAGGTGGTCTTGACTACAACACTGGCTGAAGAACACTGAAATTAGCATAAAGAGGCTGAAAAATGCTGAAATGAGCTGAAAAAGTTGCAAACTGCAAAACAGCATGAAGGCTCTGAAGGATGTGGAGAGCTCCATTCGTTTTCAATCAGAAAAACATGGCCGACAGAGCTAAATATTTCAAAAAGTAAAAATTCCACGAGTATCAAAATGTCCTGAACGAGCTGAACGTTTTGATTTACGAATTATTGAAACGGAACAAAAACTGTGGAGTTACGTGCTGAAAAACGTACAGAAGAAAAACGGATCTGAATAAAGAGAATGGATCAGAAACATTCAGACCACAACACACACTCTAAATGTGTGGTCTTAAGACTTATTTCACGTGTCAGTCCAGATTTCAGCAGAAGCTCATGCAGTCATCTCTCACACATCTGTACTGAAGTTATTTGTGCACTTACTGTGGCCAGCTGCAGGTCCAGCTGTGGCTCAGGCGAAGGCGTGCTCCCTCCCTCCAGAACAAGTGCAGGTGCTGTGAGACCCGGGTCCAGCAGAAGCAAGACCCGGAACCAGACAGGGAGCAGCATGACCTGCATTTCACACACTTTACCGATGCATGAAGATGGAAGTTCTGGTTAATGAGGAAGCCCTTTTAAGCACTCATTGTGACTCACGCCATCCGCAAATCCTAGAAAAAACCTTGTGCAGTGGTGGCAATGGGCTCAGGGAGGGGTTTCGAGAGATGAGGACAGTAAAAAAAAAAAAGGTCAACTGAAGATTTGTTTTGTCATGAGACATACTTTGTGGTCGTGGAGATTAAAATAGATCCAATGTTCTCTGCACTATATCAGTTTCTTCTTCTAGTGTTTAAACTGAATGTGAAAGTCCGAAATTGAAGGAAAACAATATGTGTGATGAAACGAATGTGGACCCAGAACCTGACTCAACTTCTGTCAGCTTGAGCTCCTTCAGGTCAAAACATGTGCATATTTACATTAAAACACACACAAATCTTATTTTGAATGAGATATTTCCTCAGCAGAGGAAACTCCCTTCAGCCTGATGAAACACGGTGACCTGAAAGAGTCGGCTCAGTCCCACACATCCTGCAGTCTCGCCTGAAATAACACAGCGAAAGAATATTTTTGTCCTTTCAATGCATGTAGGAATCAAAATTGCAGGGGGTGGATTTACGGCCTTCGCAAAACAAAATGGCCACCAGCCAGGAGACCCAGACTAGTGTGGGGTTGCTGTGATAAATCCAGACTACAATTACAGCCAATCGGTCACTGCGGGCCTTTATGGGACCAAAAGCATTCCTACTGGAGCTGGATTTTACAGAAACTTTGTGATCTTGCTGTGACTTTCTTTTTTGAGCACAGACGAGGAAAGGGAGTTAAATTTAGCAGGAAAATGCACAGTGAAACCAAAAGCCACATTTTTCTGTAACCATTTAAAATGGCCATGACCAATGTTCTGATACATGCTCAATAATCCAGGTGGTTGAGTCAGGTCCTCTGGACGGATTCTTCTTGTTGAAACGTTTCAGCTTTGATCCAAAAGACTTCTTCACTCTGAGGAGCTGCAACAAACTCAGTCTTATAAATAGCAGCTTCTCAAAGTGGATCAACCAGTTTGTTGGTGACAGCCAAAACTAGTTGTTCACATGTAAAAGGAGGACCATCAGCCTAATAATCGATCGTTAGTGCCCTGATGGCCGCTTGCTATTCACAGAGGGCTGAGTACCAATAACGGCATGCACCGATCCAATACCGATATCGGCATCAGTCCCGATATCGAAAAAACTTCTGGATCGGGTATCGTGACAATGTGACCCATCCACGACTGGGCAGATCTATTCACTCTAATTCTATATTCTGTGCTTTGAGAGACGTCACGAGCTAGCAAACTCACTGCACGGATTGTTTCCAAAATGGAGCGAGTGAAAGGATCAGCCATCTGGAACTATTTCACACCACTTCAGCCAACACATATGACAGCTACGTGCAATACGTGCACAGCAACGGTTCCAGGGGTGTCACTAAAACTTCCAGTAATAACACGACCAACTTAATCAAGCATCTCCAGAGATTTCACCCTAAAGAGCACGCTGAGTTTGTTGAACAGAATTCAGCACTGTTTATCTGTATCAAATCGGTATCAACCGATACTAAACCCCAGATATTGTATCGGTATCGGAAGTGGGAAAAGTGGATCAGTGCATCCCTAATTGTAAGCAGGTGACAGTTAAACATGGAAATCCCCACCCCTGTTGAACGATAGACGAGTTCTCCACAAAGATGGCCTCCTTTACTCCTCTCTCAAACCAACGTTCCTCTTTAAAGGATGTGGTCATCTTCATTGTTGAAAGAGTGACCTCTGGCCTGCAGATGAAAGGAAAGTGCAAAGTCTTGGCCTGATGAAGTTGTTCTTCTGTGCTTGGCCATCCTTTTGGCATTAGTGGCTGATTAGTTTCCCCTATGTAAGACTGATCACAGTCCTCCTGGCACTGAACAGCATACACAATATTACTCTCTGCTGGGGGACTGGATCTTTGGGATGGACCAGTCTTTGTCATGATGTATTTTGGGGTTTGAAAGCCAATGGAATGTCTTGTTTAGAAAATAAACATCTCAGTTTCTCAGAAACTGCTTGTCTTAGAAAAAAAGAGATTCCCAAAACAATCAGGTGTAGACTATGTGAGATTTATTACAAAGATTTGAAGAACAGCCAACAACTTACAGACGATCGATGCATTTACAAGGACAAACTTATCAATGCCTCCATCTGTCTGAGGTTCTGACCCGTTCTTAGCTTCCTGTGACAAAACTGTTAGTTTATAGAATTCCCCCAGGCGCCAGTCTTTTACTCCCCACTCACTCTTTTGAGCTACTATTAGAAGTCCAGCTGCACACAGAAGAGATGGGGAATGTGGAAGATGGAAACACCTCTCAAGGACTCTAGACACACATCACTGTAATCATATCAATCAAACAGTGAGTATAATAAAAATGATCTCTTGTAGTCTCTTTGCTGACTGCTCACATCAAGAATGATTATAATTATAATATAGGGAAAAGGATCATGGAATATTTTAATATTGTTCACAATAAAAGGATCAATGCATAATACACATTGTCTCATCACTCTCACAGTACATGGAATAGAGCTGTCATTTCTAACCCAGGTCCGAAGCCTGGCCCGACCAGAATACTGGGCGGGCAGGGCCATGATAATGTGCCTGACTGGCAGGCTGGGTCGGTGTATGGCTTTTGGCCGTGATCAAATTATACGGCAAAATGGCTTGCCATACTACACCAGCCGCAAACGACCATTTCACTGCAAGCTAAACGGCCATGAAAGAGGTCAAATAAAGTTCAGTTACACTTCAGATGGAACAATACTGCCAGGAAGCGATCCATCGTACAAATGGATGTGCATTCAGCCCCTGCGCTCAGCGGACGCACGCGGACGACGACCCAAACAGGTGAAATCCCATAGACGTGTCAGAGAGGGATTTAATGCACTTTGACGGTCATGAAAGAACAAACACCCCCTCAACTCTGACCTTCTGCCCCTTTTTTTCAGCCATGCGCGTCCACCGCCCATTAAATAATAATAATAATAATAATGTCATCACAATGTCAGCACTGTATGTTTCCATACAATGACGAAATTAGTCTCTGCATTTAACCCATCCACCACCAGGTGGTGCAGTGGGCAGCTATTGAAAGCGCCCGGGGGACATTTTGGGGGTGAGACGTGCTGCCCAGAGACGCCACGTGATGTGCAGTGACTGGGGATCGAACCTGGGACTTTCGGGTCCCAAGCCGGCTGTCCTGCCTCTACACCATCTCGGCCCCCATCAGTCAAAGCTTAATTGTCGGGGTGGGGGGTTCGGACCTGTAAGTAGGCTACTGTTAATTCATTGGGTCAGGTGGGATTCTGAAATGATGGCTATGTGCTGGGTTGGATCATACTTTTTGGGCCTGAATGCAACTCTAATATGGAATGACCACTGGTCTGGGTTCCTCCTTTTCACCTGATGGCTGACTGGAGTCCTGTTTGGGTTTCTTCTCTGCTTTCAGGAAGGCCCAGTTAGGATATCCACATTCCTCTAGAGCCTGTCTTGTGTGGGATTTCTCCTTCTGCCTGGCTCCTGAGTTAGTGGGGACGCTGTCTGCTCTGTGGTACAGAGTCCTGATGACTCCTAACTTGTGCTCCAGAGGGTGATGGGAGTCAAACTGCAAATACTGGTTTGTGTGGGTGGGTTTGCAGTACAAATCAGTTTCCAAATGTCCTCCATCAGAAACAGAGACCTCAAATTCCAAGAAAGCCAACCTACAATCTTTCACATCTTCTCGTGTGAACTTGATGTATTTATCCACAGAGATGATGTGGTCAGTAAAATGTTGGACTTCCTGAGATTTAATTTGAACCCAGGTGTCGTCAACATACCTGAACCAATGACTTGGTGGTGTCCCTGAAAAGGACGTCAAGGCTCTCTTTTCTACCTCCTCCATGTACAGGTTGGCCACAATAGGAGAAACTGGAGACCCCATAGCACACCCATGTTTCTGCCTATAATATTGCTCCCCATATGAAGTAGGTTGACTGCAGGCACAGTTTCAAGAGTTGACACAGTTGTTCTGTGGAAAGCGTCACGTTGTTGCTAAGAGTGGCATCTTACCTTAACCCTAAACAGACCATCTCCACTGCTTCATCAACAGAACGTATGTAAAGTAATTAAAGAAAAAACGAAATTTGAAATTGGATCCTACTTAGATCTTAATGACAAAGGGGAGGTGACACCACCAATACTTTGGGATGCACTAAAAGCTGTGATTAGAGGAAAGATAATAGCAACTTGGTCTCACAAGAAAAAAAAAAAACTAGACAAAATAAACTCAAAGAATTGGAAGATTTGAAAAAACTACAAACTGAACATTCAACAACTTTGAAAAAAGAAACGAAGACAAAAAAAAAATTACACTTGAAGAAGGAAATAGATTAAATAAATAATTTTGAAATACAGAAAAAAGCTTATTTTGACTAAACAACGCTACTTTGAGACAGGTGAGAAAGCATTGAGACTGTTATCATACAAATTAGGAAAACAACAAGCAGACAGAAATATTCATAAAATACAAAATCCCTTTTACAAAACAATTAGAAACAAGTCCTGAAGGAATTAAACAGTGTCTCCAAAAATATTATGAGCACCTAAACACACAACCTCAAGCAGCAGATGACAAACAAATCAACATTTTTTTAGATTTGATACACCTACCCAGGGTCACAGAGAGTCAGAATAGTCAACTGACAAACAAGGTAACATTTTCATTTCATTTTCATTTATCCTTTACATGAAGTAAAAGAAGCGATCGGCCGTAGGTGGGTGGGTGGTTGATTTCCAGGAGCAGACGGTTTCACCGCTGAGTGGTATAAATCCATTCAGGAGCTCTTAATCCCAACTCTGGTCAGGGTGTTCAACTGGGTGCTGGAAAAGAACCTGGAGCCGCAACAACTGAGATTATCCACTGGTGGCCCGTGAGCCACTTTCGGTTTCCTGGAGGGGGCTTTTGTGGCCAGTAGG